GGAAAGGTTATCCTGGATTATCCAGGCGGGCCCAATGTCATGACAGCTCTGTCCTGTCATCCTTGCAGGAGGGAGGCTGAAGGACCGGGGGAGGAGATGTGACCATGGAAACAGGTCGAAATGATGTGGGCCCACAAGTTAAGAAACGTAGACAGTCTCTAGAAGCTACAAAAGGCAAAGAAAGAGATTCTCCCCTACAGCCTGCTGAAGGAACATAGCCCTCGACCCATTTTAGACTTCTGACTTCCTCAACTTTAAGATAATAAATTTGTATTGTTTCAAACGACTGGGTTTATGGTAATTTGTTACAATAGCAAAACAAAACAAAAAAGAAAGAAAAAGAGAAACAATTCCCTTGCTATATAAAATTCAAACTACAACTATATACTATAAAAGACACATAGAGAAGCCTAAGGGTTTTAGTTTTTCCATGACAACTTTCATCTTGTCCTGAAATACCAATCATTTTAAAATATGCAATTGTCTCTAACCTGCAGGGACCTAAAGCCCACAATTAGCTTATCTGCTTGGCCACCCAACATCGGCCGGGGAGACAGGAACATCTGCTGAGCATAAAAAACAAGAGCTTTCCGGGCCAGTGACGAAGGACAATGGTGATGTGTGGCTTGGGGGCCAAGGGCGCTTTAGCACAGGGGCAGGAGCTGCACTCCCGCCATCAGACTTGCCCCAGAGGGCGGGGGCAGGAGCAGGTGGAGGTCCCATTTGCTATGGGCAGATTACACTGGGGGCGGCACCTGCCTCCTTGCTAGTCCTACACTGTCTCCTGACCTTCACTCCCACCAGGATGAGCCGGGCAGACAGAGGCCGCCAAGTCCACAAGTCAGAGTGCACAGGCTGGGACAGCTTTGTGAAAGAGAAGGGTCTTGGGGGGACATGGACCTACAAAGGAAGATGAGAGAACAAGAAGAGACACACAGGCCTCACACTTGGATAATGACTCAATAGTGTGTGCATGGACCAGCCTGTCAGGCACAGAAAAAGTTCTGAGTGAATGTGCACCTGCAGAGGGGGCTACACGGTGGGCACTTTGATCCCGGCTGGCATTTTTGAATTTGTGATGGGCAACAGGGTGGGAGGAATGCTTTGGGAAGATACAGAGGATGGTTAGATGACTGGCAGGGAGAATATGAGAGAAAAGTTTTAGAACCAACTTCAAAACAAAAGAAAAAAGTATTTTAGTGTGTGTCAAATCAAGATAGGTGCATTTCCCAGTAATGAAGACAAAATGTTTATACTTTTTCTGACAACAGAAGGTGTTTATGTCCTTATAAACTCACTACCCCAGATGGTAAAATAAATCATAAATTATGAAGAACTTCACTTTGTCTTGTACAAAAAGAAATTCAAAAGAGACCTATAGATATGAAAACCTTGTGTGCAAATAAAATTGGCATATGCTTTTTAAAAAATACATACACACTTTCTTGGTTGAATGCATGTCTGTTTGCATGATGGAACTGATCATGTGTGTGTGTCTCTTTGTCACTGGTACATCTTCTAAAACCTGAATATCAGGATGGAATGATATATTAAAAGTAAAGTAATATTTAATATCTTTTTAATAGTTTTCCATTCAGGATATGCAAACTATTTCATTTTACTTCCAACATTTCAGCTTTTTCTCAAAAGCTGAAGAGTTCCATCTCAGCTAGCTGAACTGAACACCTATTATTATAATATTTACACAATTAAAATGGACAGTAACAGCCAAGAGCACAATGCCAATCCGAAACTGAGTTCAAGCTGATCATCCTTCTTAGGAGACTGGCCTTTTTTATTCTCTACTGAAACCTATTTTCAATTATAAACCACGTTACTTCAGCTTAGAATATAACTGTCCAGTCAGAGTAACACTGTATCTTGAGCACAAAGGTCTACAGTCATCAGGATAAATCAGACGTAATGACTGGTAAGCTTCCTTCTCCTCATTCAGGGACGGATCAGATACCACCTCTGCACGGAACACTCAGGAAACTCATGACTCGTACACTCCGCTGACAAGAATGTTCTATCTCATATTGTTGTCACATTATAGAGCATATCTTACATCCCAACTAGGATGGCAAGATTTTAAGCAACCATGTCATAAACTCCTTGGTGTTTCAGTCCCAATCTTACATGGTACTTTGTACAAAAAGGGCTCAAAAAACATGAGTAGCTTGACTGTTAACTCATGAGTGAAGAGAAAGGCATGTTGACAGGTCAGACATGTCCACTTTCTCACATGATAACGCTTTACGGTCACTTTCAGAGTCAACAAAAGTTAGAGTCCACAAGCTCAAGGAAGTCACATTTTAAAGTCACATTATTAACCAAGGAATCCTCAAAGCCTGTGTCGCCTACTCACTGCTCATCTCTACTCAGTGGACAAACTCATGGATTCTGTTTCCACCCTCCAAAGGGAACCCACCCCTGTCTTTACATGCCACATGCCCCCTCCCTTAGAGCTTGCCAGTACCTCTTTCATCATATCTCTATAAAGCCAAGGAAGAAAGTTATATGACCCATAATCTATTATTACACAGTTCCCAATACTGCCATATGAATTTATTTCAGGAACAGAAATCTCACATTTGCCCCTTGGAGATGTTTTAGTTAATGCTCAGTCACAAGGGAACATCGGGGGAGAAATTCTCTGTGCTGCTGGTGTTCTTGCACTAAGTGATGTGTCCTAAAGGAGAAACTGAGCAGTAGTGTTAACACACTCACTGGCCAAGCTGATGGAAGAATGCAAGCACTGGCCAGAACCTAACAGCTCTCTGTCACCAGCTCTGGAAACGAGAGCACACTTCAGCTTAACACCCTAACATGTGATTCAATCTGCAGTGGAAGGAGAGAGGATCCCGGCCTGGGGACACACATACACAGGTCTAACTCAGACACTGCGTCACTCATGGCCAATTTTGCCACATGTAAGTTCTGACTTCAGTCAGTGACTGTTCTCACATTTTTGTGGCTTCTGGCTGCTTGCAGCAATTCTCATCCTTGCCCAGCCACCAGGTTACATGCCTGGCCTGTGTCCTGTGGTTGAACCTCACACACTGAACCTATAAGCCAATCTGCCCTTTGGGCTCACAGCACCTGACAGGCCTTAGCTGTCTCCAGAGCTGGCCCACTCCACCCTCCTGAGCTGCAGTGACCACACAGCAAGGGCGCAAGTTGGACCCAGGGACAGAGGGAAAGAACAACTACAGGTTGCACTGGATTTCCCCAAAGTAGCTCTAAGAACCTATGCTCAGAAGTGACAAGAGGATACCCAGAAGTTGTTCAGCAGTGACTGAACATGAGCACACCGAGAACAGACATGTGAGGAGACATGAAAGAGAAGGAACACGAGACCCCCACCTAAGGAACTCATGTGCTTTTGGTGAAGCAAACACCTTAGGTGTCATCACATGACAGTCTCATCAGGAGTCAGCAGGTCGTTGACTCCTGAGCAGGGCCTGCTTGGTCTTACAAGCTGCTACCACACTGGACCTCTATCCTGCATCTAGAAGCCCTAGGAGGCTCTCAAGCTCCAGTGTGCCAGGCCCCAGCCCCTGAGGGTCTAACTCAGTGGGTCTCAGGAATACCCACACGTCTGGGTTCTCCAAAGGTCCGTAAAGGCATCTGATATGAAGACTGGGTTGAGCAGTCGGGAGGTGAGCTCAATGGGAGAGTGCGTGTTTTGCATGTACGAGGCCCCAGGTTCTACCCCCGGCATCTCCAGCCTCTTCATTTCTCTAGGAGCCGTTCGTTTCTCTCGATTGAGCTATCCTAACTCCTGCCTCTTTACTCCCTGGAGGCTTTTTCGACAGAAAACCAAACACATGACCTAAGACACTCATCTGGGGAGCCTGGGTGGCTCAGCTGGTTGAGCGTCCGACTTCAGCTCGGGTCATGATCTCAGGTTCGTGGGTTCAAGCCCCGCATTGGGTTCTGTGCTAACAGCTCGGAGCCTGGAGCCTGTTTCAGATTCTGTTTCCCTCTCTCTCTGCTCCTCCCCCACTCGTGCTCTGTCTCCCTCTGTCTCAAAAATAAATTAAAAAAAAATTTTTTTTAAAAGAAGACTGGGTTGAGTACTATTCAGTATTTCTTAAATGTGAGCTACCAGAACTTGGTTTCTCTTTATTTCCCTATTTGCTTCACTTCTTCTCCCCCATTGTATTGATATCTCCAGGATTAAAATCCCTAGCCCTTTGGCATTATAAAAAGTACTACATATAACTCGAGGAATGTCATGGAAAGTAAAGCAAATAAAAAGTATTAGCATCTTGCTGTAGGTTAACATGCAATATAATGATGCACATCTGATGGAATTTTTTATATAAATTCCACTGAAATACTGAAAACACAGACCAAGAATAGAAAGGGTAGCAGACGATTTGGTACCATGGGTAAAATGATCCCCTGAAGCTGCCAGCCTGCCATGCCGACAGCCGCTTGGTCAAGCAAGCACACGCAGGCTGCTCCAGGCTGTTGGAGTCCGGGAGAACATGATTTAGGGGGTTTCACTGTCTCCTCCAACATGCTGCCTGCCCCACCACTTTCATGCAACACACTAAAACAGATCCCTCAAACCTGAGCCTTGGGTGGGCATGTGCTAGCACTTAGACTAGAACTTTCTGTTTACTAGGTGCATGTGGCATCCAATGTCCTTTACGTGTGCAACCAACTGAGTCCCGCAACAACCCAAGGAAGTAGGTATGGTAATTTCCCTATTTTACAGGAGAGGAAATTGAAGCACAGAGAAACTGAATGACTTGACCAAAGTCACAGAGCTGGGAGGTGGGAGCACTGGGTTTCAAACCCAGGTATTCCAGGTATTCCAGCCCAGAGCACGCATTCCAAATCACAAAGGCTTCTATAGGCGTTATGCTATTTTCCAGTAAGACCTGCAAATCAAGTAAGTTGGTATTCTAAGTAGGCAAATGATTTCTTTTTAATTAATTCTCTACGTGTTCACTCCTTGCAAAAATGTACAACGGTTAGTGGTTCACCTTGGAAAACAGTTCCACGGGTGCCGCTATAGCCTTCTGTTCGGTCAAGTACTGCTCCCAAGACCAAGCTTCCTGTGCAGCCACTGAGGGGACTGGAAAAGAAAACACAGTGACTTTTCTTGAAACAATTAGTGGCAGAAAAATAATATTTAATCAAAGATAAACCGAACAAGCAGGCTGCTTAAATAATAAATAATAAGCAAACAAACACATAAATAATAAAACCCATATCTCTCACTTTCTGTGAGCATTTAGTAAAATCATCTAACCAGTCCATCTTCAGCTTCTCCTGCTTTAGAACAGGCCTGGGAATATATCTCACCCTCAAGAAGACCACTGATAAGCACTTAAAATGGGTGGCCTCTTACTCCTCTCAAAGAAGAGTCAACAGGTTTTCTAGAACATGATTTGGTTCATTTTAGGGTAAATGACCTGAAAATATCTTTATAATCTCCTTTCACTTTCACACTTCTTTTTGGGGTGGATGTCAATAAGCACAACCTGTCGGAAGGCAAGGTGGAAATATATGCCAAACACCTTAAAAATTATTTGTATATTTTGAACCAGCAATTTGCTTCCAGGAATGTCTTAATGCAATTATAGCAAATGTGCCCAAGTGGCAAACACAAGGGTTTTTATTTTTTTTTATTTTTTTTTATTATTTTTTTTTATTTTTTACAAATAGTTTATTGTCAAATTAGTTTCCACCTAACACTCAGTGCTCATCCCCACAAGTGCCCTCCTCCATGCCCATCCCCCCCTACCCCCCACATCCATCAGTCCTCAGTTTTTGTCAGCATTCAAGAGTCTCTCATGGTTTGCCTCTCTCCCTTTCCCCCACCATTTCCGCCCTTCTTCTCCCCCTTGTTCCTCCGTCAAGTTCCTCCTAATCCTCCTAT